GATCTTGGACTTCCCAGCCTCCAGAACTGTGAGAAATAAATGTTTGTTGTTTATAAACCACCCAGTCTATTCTTTTATAGCCGCCTGAATGGTCTATGGCAGTAATATTCTATTTCTTAAGATCTAAGTCTCTCTCTCTCTCTCTCTCTCTCTGTCTCATTCTGTGTGTGTGTGCATACATACACACTGTTATTAATACATAAAAGATTCAATAATTTAAAAAAATCTTAAAAAAATAAAGTAGGTCTTGTGACCCAGCAATTTCACCCCAAGGTATTTACCCAACAGAAATGTATACGTATGTTCACCAAAAGACATGAACTGGATCATTCATGGAAGCTTTAGTCCTAATAACACACAATTGGAAACTACCCAAGTGCCCATCAATGGTTGGATGGGTAAATAAATTGTGTCACATGCACACAATGAAACACTATAGAGCAATGAGAATGAACGAACGAAACCCCCACATGGCAACATGAATGAATCACACAACCTTGATGGTAAATGAGAGGAATCAATCACACAAGAGTACCTTCTGTGTGATTCCATTTACGTCAAGTACAGAAACAGGCAAAACGACTCAATGCTGTTAGAAGTCCCTTTCTCCATGGGAGAAAGGTTGAGACTGGACAAGAAGGGCGCTTCGGGAGCTGTAATGCTGTTTTTTCATCTGGATGCTGGTGCATGTACGTTCAGTTTGTGAAGAGGTACTGTGCTGTACATTTATGATGTATGAACTTTTCCTGTATGTATATTATGCTTGAATAAAGGTTTTTTTAACATCTTTATTGGAGTATAATTGCTTTACCATGGTGTGTTAGTTTCTGCTTTTGAATAAAGTTTAATAACAAAGTCGGGTGAGAGGATGTAGAAGGTCAGGGTGGTGGTGGGTGTGCTGTTTTCTATCAAGGGGACAGGATCAGGTTCTCGGATAAGGTGAAAACTGGACGGAAACCCTGAGGGAGTTCACTGTGCAAGTATCTGTATACCTTGAGGAAGAATATTAAGAATATTGTGATGAAGATAATGGGCACGATTAGATCAGTTGTGATACCTGAATCCTGGAATGCTAAGTAGCCTTAGAGACTGGGAGATGTGACACTGACATGAGAGAAAACTGATGACTATGAACAGTGCAAACTGGATGACACATAGCATTTGTAATAGCCACAATTTAATTTTTCGATTATGTAAATACACATAAAATGAAAAGAAAGAAAGAAAGAAAAAAGAATACGCTGGTGAGTGCTCACTGAGCTTATTTTAGACAATGAGTTCTTGAAGATGAGGACCTGGTCCACCTTGAAATTCCAGTGTCTACCTCAGTACCTAGCACGTTGCTAACCTACAAATTGAATAATTTTTTTCTATATTATTCCAGCTGCTCCCAGGATTTCCTTCTGGTTTTTAGAGACTTTTTGTTTCCGCCTCGTGGTCTCTAACTTTGCTCTTTGCCCTTTCTTCTTTTGAAAAGGAGGGAACAAATCGTGAGGCGTGAAATAACGTGTTTTCGTCCATCCCAGTGGCGGAGCTGGCCTCCTCCTTTCTAAGCCGTTTCCAAATGATCCCAACACCCCGTCTCTCAGCCTAGCAGAGCCTCCTGACTGGACACCACACATTTTAAAATTTACCCCCAACTCGACCCCTCCCAATGCACACACCTTGTCCCATGGGTCCTAAGGGGCTCATTTCTAGTGTAGCACTTACTACACGTCACTGTGACACTTTGTTTGCCTGCCTCGCTCACTTACAAGCTGAGCAGTTATGGGGTCAAAGCACATGACTCTGACTCTTACCCTATAGTCTTTTTAAAAATTAATTTTTAAAAATTTAATTGCACTGTAGTCTTTGAAAAGTGTTGGTTGAAGGGGTGGGTCAAGGTTAAGAGAATCAAGAAAGGCAGACTTGGGGTTGGGAAGTTTGTTGATGGCTGTTTGATAGGGTAAGAATTGGTACTAGGAAAATAAGAGGCAAGGACGTCTAGTTTCAAAGCAAACAACAACCACCCCAAAAAAATCAGAATCGAAAAGAAAAAGAATGCTAACCGAGGCAGCAAAGATGCCAAGCCCACAGAAACCAGCCATAAGTTAACCACTGTATTAGTCAGGGTTCTCCAGAGAATAAGGCGAAGGGGGGTGGAGGGAGAGAGAGAGTATTTATTTTAAGGAATTAGCTCACAAAGTGTGGGGACTGGCAAGTCTCGAATCTGTAGGGTAGGTCAGCAGCCTGGAAATTCAGGCAAGAGCTGATATTGCAGTTTTGAGTGTGAAATCCACAGGGCAACAGGCCAGACTCGGGAGGGTTTCTATGTTATTCAAGTCTTGATGAGAATTCCTTCTTTTCCGGAGACCTCAGTCTTTTTCCTTAAGATCTTCAACCAGTTGGATGAAGCCCATCCACATCATGGAGGCTAATGTGCTTTGTTCAAAATTAAATACTCACCCTACCTTAGAAGTACCTTCAAAGTGTAGGGCAGGCAAATTTTTTTACCTCTACCCCCTTAGGGTTTTCAGCTGGGTCTGTGAATTGACATAAAACAGAGTAGCAGGAGAAAAGCATACAGGCTTACTTAGTACAAGTTTTACGTGACGTGGGAGCCCTCACAAGAAAATGAAGACCCAAAGAAATGGCCAGATCTATGTGCTTTTATACCAGATAGAACAAAAAGAGGTGATTGTAGAAAAGTAACTGAACTGTGGGGAGGCTAAGGAAAGAAAGGAATTATTTTAATAAGGTCTGTTTTACAGAATTCACTAGGTCTGGGTCTTGTGAGTGGAAACTTTGCTTCATTTTTCTTCATAGCACTTTTCACCACTTAATATATTTATCTATTATCTGACTCACCCTCTTCCTCACAACTTGAAACCAATAAAAAATGTGTCTTATTTCTATTCACTGCTGTATCTCCAATTCCAAGAAGAGCGTCTGGTACATAGAAGGTGCTCAATAACACCGGTTGAATGAAAGGATGAAAACCTTTGCTCCCTACATGAGTAGTATGATTCAAGCTGTTTGTGAAAATGAAACAATTCTAACGATGGCTGATGAGCAATGTCCTGTAAAAGTTTCCTCTGTGTTAAGTAAAATGAGAACAGGGAATTTCTGAGGTAAAACTAAATGTAGCTTAAAAAAAAAAAAGTAGTTGGCCAATGGAGCAATGGAAAAAGCATCAGCCTCAGCGCCAGCCGACTTAGACTGGAATCTGGCTCTGCCAGTCGCCAGCTGTGTGCCGTGAGCAAGGCTCAATCTCTCTTGTTTCCACTTCCTCATCTGTATAGTATCTGGGATGAGTGGGTTAGGCCGGTATACAGATGAAAACGCTCAGAACCAGTATGTGCAAAAAAAAAAAAAATTGGTACCACAAACTGTCATCAATATCTAAGGCCAGGGAAGGCTTTGCAGATCAAGCATCCCCACAGAACTTTCTCTACATCCTCCTCCAATTTAAATTTTATATTATAATCATACCTCATCTTTAAAAAAGGCATCCATCTTCTCTAATTAGTTTTCTCCTCAAGCAACAACACTTTGTTTTATGTTGTTGAAATATGATTCACATACTGTAAAATTCACGCTTTTAAGCTTCACCATGCAGTGGTTTTCATTACATTCACAAGGTTGTGCAACCATCATCACTCTATAATTCCAGAACGTTTTCATCACCCAAAAAGAATCTTCACACCCATTAGTCACTCCCCATTTCCCCCTCCACTCAGCTCCTGGCAACCACTAATCTGCTTTCTGTCTCTTTGGATTTGCCCAGTGTAGACATCTCACATAAATACAACCAGACAATATGTGGCCTTGTGTGTCTGATTTCTTTCACTTAGCATAATGTTTTCAAGGTTTATCCATGTTGTAGCACAGATCCGTACTTGATTCCTTTTTATAGCTGGATAATATTCCACTGTATGGACATGCCACATTTCATTTATCCAGTCTTCAGTTTATGGGTATTTAGGTTGCTTCCATTTCGGGGCTATTGTCAATAATGCTGTTATAAACATTTGTGTACAAGTTTTGTGTGAATGTATGTTTTCAATCCTCTTAGGTATGTATTTAGGAGTGGAATTTTTAGGTCATATTTAACTTTTCTACATCTAATTCTCATTTATAAATATAGTAACTCTATATTTAACTTTTAGAGGAAACTTGTCAATCTGTTTCCCACAGCAACTGCACTATTTTACGTTCTTGCCAGCAATGTATGAGGGCTCCAATTTCTCCACATCCTCATCAAGTATTTACTGTTTTATTACTACTTATCATTTTCCCTCACCCGCATTAACATTGCAGCAGCCCTAAAAACTATTTAAATTAAAACAAAAAATTTCTATGACACTCATATATTTAAAAATGACTCCAAGGTCATTTTCTAATTATTCCTGGCAGAGAATATTCAGTATTGCAGCTGCCTTGGCTAGCGAGGGATCAATGCACCATCACACCGTTTCTTACAGAATCCCGGGACAAAAAACCACTTTGGGAACAAATTTCTGTCTTAGAGAGCTGCCCGGAGTAGGCCCAAGAGTAGCACTTGAATAGCTCTTCATCTGCATTTCACGTTTTTTTACTCTATTCTCTTACTGTCCCACTGCGGGCGGTCTAGCCCTAGGTGGAACCCGGGCCGCCTCTGTTGCGCAGGCACAAACCCTTAGCCCAACCTCCTCCCTCCGGCCCCGCCCCCCCAGGCCCGCCCCTCCGCCGACATGCCCCCCTATCTCGGCGCTTTGGGGCTGAGGGAAGAGGAGATGAATGTTAAAGAGGGTCTGCGGCCAATCCGCGTGCGCCTCCGGGAAGCGGCGCTCCACACTGGCAGAGTAAGTCTGATGACGTAGCCACTCTCCAATCCGCATTCTGGGGGCGGGACTCAAGTCGGGCGGTGCAAGGCAGGAGGAGGAGACCGCCGGGTGGAATCACGTCACCTGGGACTGGAGCCGGAAGCTACGTCTGGCAGTGAGCGCCCCCCAGCACCTAAGGCTGCGATGGTGAGTGAGGACGCATGCGCGGGACTACGCGCCGGGGGTTCGGTGTCCCTGCCCCCCCATCTCCTTGGTCGCCCAGTCCTGAGCCTGCACTCCGCCCTCACCTCCTATCCGCCCCGGGACCGAGAGGGAATGGAGATGGAGGGGTGGCGACGTAGAGGGCTGAGCAGGGGACGGTGGGAGGGTGTACAGAGGCTGGGGAGTAATCTGAGGGGGAGCGGCGGGCCACAGGTGGAATTGGAGACCGGGCTGAGGGGAGTTGTCTGTGGGGTAGCAAAGGTGGGGTGTGGAAGGCCGGTGGAGCCCAGGGGCAGAGAGTGAGGACTGACGGAGGCTCAGGAAGATCAGTGTTGAAGGCCATGTAGAGGGAAGAGGGTCTGGAAGGGCCCTGGCTGGGGAAAGAGGCCTGGGGGGCCATTGTCAAGAGAGAGTCTTGGGTTTGCCAAGGGCTGTTCTTGGGTTTGCCAAGGGCTGTTCTCTTAGCCTGCTGTTCACTGATTGCATCTTTACCCACTAGACTTCTGCACTGACCCAGGGGCTGGAGCGAATCCCAGACCAGCTCGGCTACCTGGTGCTGAGTGAAGGCGCAGTGCTGGCGGTGCGTTTTGGAAAAGGGAGGGGGGGCTCCTCCAATACACATCGCCCGATGATGCCTTCTAACGTTGCCCAGTTTAACCTGATTTGTCTCTGTTCTTGATTTTTACCTGGTATCATGCCTGGCATATAGGAATTAAATTCAGGAATTAAATCAATTAATCTATCTCTGGAATCTTAGTCCTGTAACTGTTTTGAGGTAAAAGAGGTTTACTGACTTTACCAAAGCCAAAGTAGTTACAGGTTTGTTGATAACTGACATTACCTGAGTTATTCTTGAGTATGTCTTTATTTGGTATTTATTGAAGAGGCTTGGTATTTTGTTCTGCAGTACAATATAGTGTCAGTGCTCTAGAAGTTTTCAATCTAGCTGGAGAGACAAGGCTTAAGGTTAAAAGTTCAGCTAGAGAGACAAGGCTTAAGGTTAAAAGTTCAGCTAAAGTATTGCACGTGGTAAAGATAACTGAAGGAGTCCAGAGAGTGAAGGATTCAGCCCTTTGTGTTATAACTTGTGTTTTGGCAAGGAAACTTTCTTGGAAGAGACAAGAATTCAGCTGGCCTTAAAAGATGGATGGTTGTGAACAGGCAGAAAAGAAAGAGCATATTCAGGGCTGGGAGGTGGACATATTTGCAGGAGTGTGACATCAGCCTGTCTGAATTGCTGGTGGGTTTATGTTGAAAAGATTTGGAAATGTTTGGGGGAAGAAGAGGATATGTTAAGGAAAGATCTGATTGTGGAGGACTTTCAAGGCTGGGTTAACACCTGTGGATTAATCTTGGGGGGTAATAGGAGCTTTGAAGGGTTTTTGAACAGAAACAGCTGATGAAGTGATTGAGCGGAATTGTTCTATTAGGTGTAAAGATGAGCCGGAAGGAGAGGGATTCAGAAGCAGGGATGCTGTTGCCAAAATCTAGGTATGAAACAGCTGGTGGCAGTGAGAAGGAGCAAGGAGAGAAGAGATTTTTTAAAGGAAGAATCGATATGTCTTCGTAATGACTAGAGATAGGTAATAGAGGAGATAACTTTTCCATGCTGTAAGACTTTGAACTCAAGCCTAGAATTATGGTGCCTTAACAAACAGGGACTTAAGAAAGGAAGTTGATTGGGGAGGGGGAGAGGTAAGGGGAGTTTTGGTGGCTCAACTTTAAACACTGAGTTTGATATAGAATAATAGCAATTAAATATATAATGCTAGGAGTTATTCTAAGCATCTTACTAATATGCTCTTGTAACCCTCACAACAAGCCCATAAGATAGGTATTGTTGTCCCCAATTTACAGATGAGGTAACTGAGGTACAGAATGTCCAAGAGAGCAAAGCGTGCTGAATTTGACTCAGTGGGAGGCCCATATTGAGGAGGTAGGAAGAGGAAGTTGAGATCATCACGAGAAAAGAGGAAGCCCAGGCCACTGTGACATCATTACCCAAGGGCTAGGTAGTAGGAAGGGGTTCAGGGACAAAGGGGATGTTATGTTTCAGATTCTGCAGACAGGGCAACAAACAGGAAGACTGAGGAAAAGATGGCGCCTGGGACAAGTCTGTGGTGGGTGGGCACTGATGTTTGAGAATGTGATTTTATCAAATAAGTGGGAACAGGGAGAGAAATCAAGATTCAGGGATTAGGAAAACAGTGTCAGTAAAGAAATGGATGAGAGTCACTGCTTCCCATGAGGAAGCCCGGTATTTTAAGGTTGACAAACAGGATGGCATCAAGAGGGGCAACAACGTCACAGGGCAGTTTTCAGGTGGGTCTTTCCAAAACCGGGGGTGACCTTGGAGTATTGGAAAGTGGAGGCAGGTTACAAGTGCTAGAGCCAAAGTGTCCTCGGAATTTTCTCCCAATTCTGTTCCCTAATTCCTGCCATCTTCCCTCCTCTGTCTGCATGCAGTCATCTGGGGATCTAGAGAATGACGAGCAGGCAGCCAGCGCCATCTCTGAGCTGGTCAGCACGGCCTGCGGTTTCCGGCTGCACCACAGCATGAACGTACCCTTCAAGCGCCTGTCGGGTGAGCCCCTGGCCCTGGTGACGGTGTTGGGGGGTGCTGCTCCCCGAGGCTTCTCTTCTCAGGGAAAAGCACCTGTCTCCTACCAGCCGCCCACCACCTCCCTGGGGTCCCTGGTTCTGGCCACTCTGTTCCCCTTGGTATTCACCCCTGCATCAGAATTATGAGAAAGCAAGAGAAGGGGATTTAATGGAGACCTCCCATCTTCAAATCTCTGAGCTTGCAACTGTCAAATTTCTTTCGCTTTGGAGCCCAGCCAGTTTATGGTGACCCCCAGGGAGGCCTTCGCACCCCACTAACTCTCTGCTCCCTTCCCTCTCCCGGGGCGGGGGAAGGTGTGTCTCCCCTCCAGTGGTCTTTGGAGAACACACGCTGCTGGTGACCGTGTCGGGACAGAGGGTGTTTGTGGTGAAGAGGCAGAACCGAGGCCGGGAGCCCCTTGACGTGTGAGCCTGCCAGAGGGCGAGGGGCAGAGGTGGACGGGGCCGTGAGCCTCTGTGATGAGGAAGACGCAAACCTCCCCCCGCCTCTCTCTTGATTGCCATTAGAACTAAGGCTGTCTGCTCATCCACTTCCCCACCCCTACCGGGAAGGGCAGAGGCTTGGGGACTCTGTACTATGTTAAGGAGAGTGAGGGCGAGGGGACCTCCCTCTCCTCACCTTCCCTCCTAATAAACGTGAGTCTGATGTTCCCAGGCCCAGGGATGTGTCGTGTGTATTGGGGGAGGAGGGTCACACCCCATGTGTCTTCCAGCTTCTAGGGCCTCAGCCCAGAGGAGTGGAGCAAGGCCACCTCTAGACATCTAAAACTGGGACTCAGAAGAAAAAGAAAATGGGTGGGAAGGGAACTGAGGGGAGCTATTTGGTGTACATGCTAAAGGAAATCTTTCTGAGCCCCTGGCTCTCTGCTCCTGCCACCAACACACAAAGAACAGTCATTCTTCTCCCTCCTGAACAGGTATTTAATAGTCTTATTTCAGTTGGAAGCAGTAGTTGGAGAATAAGTTACAGGAACAGACAAACCAAAAAAAAAACCCCAAAAAACCAAAAAACCCCACATAAAGTGCTTCAGACTGCAAACGTAAACATGAGGACGAGGGGAGGCCACCAAGCTCTCTCCCCTGACCTGAGACAGGAGGGTCATGTCATTGTCGGGTCCCTTTACCATCACCACCCTCTGATCTCAGCCCTGCGGGTGGGAGGGAAGGAGGGAATGTCAGAGGCAGGGAAGACAACTTAAAGGAACGAGGGAAACACTTTGTAAACTTAGAACCAGGGTGCAAGGCGGGGGCAAGGGAGCTCCTGGAGCCCTTGCCTTGGCCGAGGGGTGGGGCCAGCCCCCCCAGGAGGTCCGGGAAATACTGCTGGCTTCACGCCGCAGCCATCCCTGTCCATTTCACAGCTTCTTCCCTCGTCCCTCATCAGCAGACACAGACAGGCGGCCCTGAGGGCCTCCTCACCCTCAGTGGGAGGCATCCCAGGGGAGGCACAGCCTGGAGGGAGCACCGCTCCGGGGGCTGTTGATTTCCAGGAGTGTGAGAGGGAGGAGAGCTGGATGGCGCTACTTGACGGGCTCCACCACCAGGACCTTGCACTCGCGCTTGGCGATCTTGTCCAGAGAGAGCACAGCCTTGTCCGGGGGCAGGTAGAGGGGGCGGCTGACAGGCGAGGCCACGGGGGGCGTGATGGCCCTGCGCTCCATCACGCTGCCCGACCTGGGGGAAGGCAGAGGCTATGAGCTCTGGTTGGACCCAGGGCCCCTCCCTGCTCCCTCTCCAACTCCAGCCTCTACCAAGTCCACTGGCACCCCTCCCGCGGTTCCGTACCTCATGAGGTGGCTGCGGGAGGGCTGTTGGTGGGAGAAGGACTGAGAGCGGCCCAGGCTCGCCTGGTGCCTCTCGACCAAGTCCCGGACGGCAGGGCTGCTGGGGCTGCTCTTGCGAGAGAGAGGCCGGGCCTCTGGCGGAGGGTGGGACACGCTGGCGGTGAACTGCAGCTTCAGTTTCATGTGCTGGCTCAGCTGGGGTAGGGAGACATGGATCAGCCACCCAGCTCGGCTTCCAGGCCCCGGACCTCCTTTCAGGTCATCTTCCCCACTTGACAGGCCTAAGTCGGATCTAAATTCCACCTTCCCTCCGCGCGGCTTTGTAGCACCACCCATTATGCTTCAGCCACAGAAACCAGCGGCCCTGACTCCTTCCACCTGACGCTCTGCCTCACCCAGCACACAGCCTGGCCCCCACCAGCCCACCTCGAAGAGTCCCGTCCTCAGAGCCTGGAAGGCCACACTGAAGGTGAGCGCGCTGCCCTTCCGGGAAAAGCCGAGGTTGTTGAGGGGTGTATGGCAGACGATGGAGTCCAGGGCTGCCTGCATGGCCCGGCGCTCCTCCTCACACAGCTGCTTTCCTGGGGGGGACAGAAACGGGGGCTGGGAAACACATCTGTATGGTGTTCCTCAGTTTGCAGAGGGCGTTCACGAGCACAGTCTTGTTTTGATCCTCAGAGCCACTCTGTGGAGTAAACTGAGTATATGCTATTGTTTGCTGAATTTTATAAATAACAGTAGCTAATACTTACTGTGTATTGAGATCTATTCTAACCACTTCACATAATATTAACTCACTAAGTCGCTGTAACAGCCCCACGAGGTATTATTTTCTCTGTTAGAGAGATGAGAAATCTGAGGCTCAGAGAGATTAAGTAACCTACCAAAGGTCACACAGCTAAGAAGTGGAAGAGGTACAAGTTAAACATACCAGGGAGCCCAGCTCCAGTGTCAAGGCCCTTAAAATCACTCTGCCCCGCGGCCTCTCTAAACTCTCCATTGTGACACCATGGAGACCACCCTGGTTCAGAGCCGAAGCAGCCGGCCACAGTCACCCATCTCTGTGACTGCTTCCCTTCCCCTCCCCTCCTTCGGGACAAGGTTAGGCCTGGCAGCCACCTACCAGCCTGGGCGTGCTCCGGGGTCCACACGAGCCTCACAGCAAGGAAGTCTTGGAGATTGTTGAGCAGCGTATAGGTGACAGTGAAACGCTCGTAGGTCCGAACAGGGGACTCACAAGAAGCAGTCATCACAAAGCACGGGCGGTCCAGGCGGATGCTGGGCAGGCTAGAAGCAATGAGAGAGGGAAGCAGGATGTGTGTGTTTTGAAACAAAGATGAACAGGATGGTACCCAGGCGGGGCCAGGGTGGGGTGTCCCACAAACTCACCGGTAGTGGGTATAGATGCTCTGGGTAAAGGGCAGCTTCGGCGTGGACCACTGAACCACAGCGATCAGGGGAACTTCTAGGCCCTGCCAGAGGGACAAAGGGAAACATCACATGTATCAGAGGTTCCCTCTCCCCTTAGTCAACCCCCTGGCCTCTTCCTCCCACTGCATTTTCTCACCCTTTCTCCTGAACACACCAGTCTCTTATACTCACCTCCTTGGCCCCTGGAGGGGGCTGCTCACCCCCTCTGAGCTGGAACAGGAAGTTGTGTTCCTCCAGAGCACTAAGCAAGCAGGGGAAGCAGCCAGAGGTACCAGGGAGCCGGCAGAAGGAGCCCATAGAGACTTCCCCAGATTGGTGACTAGTTCAGAAGAAAGGGACCAGAGCTGGATCTTTCCACACCAGAGCTCTCGGCCCTGCCCCCATCCCCACCACTGTGCGGCCCTGCCCCTCCCCAGGACCTCACCAGACATTGTCCACCAGCAGCACAGAGCCATCGGGCATGACAGGCAGATAACTGGCATTGAAGTTTGGGAGAATGCGGATATCCCAGATGGAAATTTCCTCCTGGGAGGAGCTGTTCAGCACTGTCGGAGGTAACCAGCTCAGCTCAGAGTATCTGGACCCCTTGGACCCCACCTTTTCCCCCCTAAAATGGATCTATCCCCACCAGAGTAACTGACACCCAGTCAGTGCCCTTGCTGCTGCCCAAGAACTGAGCCGCCAATCTGCTCACCCTTGAGCACGGTCAAGTGTTTTCCAGCCACAGTGAACTGGCGACATTTCAGAACTGGAGGAGGCAGCAGAGTCAGCAGGGTGCTCACTGCAGGAGAGGGCGGAGGCAAGAGATGATGGGCTGGGTGAGCCTCATTCCAACCCACAGTTCTAATCTTGCTCTTCTCTCCAGCTTGGGCACTTGCCAGTATCACCCCTCCACTGTCCCCCAAATTCCAGACTCCAGCATTTCCTCTCTGCATTCTCCTCCCCACCTTGGGCCTTGAAAGCGCTCTGCTCGCCCCGGAAGGTCTCCCCAGGAGATCGGGTTTGCAGCAAGCGCAGGTAGCCTTGATCTCTGACCTCTGGTGCCTCAACCTCCCGCTTCCACACGGTCACTACAATCTGAGCACAGGGGACACAGGACCACAGTCGAGAGAAAAGACACACAGCCAGCCTCAGAAAGGGCGTCTGAATTAGGACAACAGCTCCACCCCGTGCCAGCCTTACCTTGGCCTTAGGTGTCCCTGGGGGCAGTCTATCCAGTGAAACGGTGAGTGGGAAGATGACCTCATCTGTGGACACAATTGGTTCCTCCACAGGCAGCTGGGTTGTGAAAAGGGTGAAGAGGTCAGAAGAGTCAAGGCCGCCCGCAGCGCCAGCGTTCCCTTTAAGATCTGCGGTACGTGGTTCTCGCCCTCCCCTCTCCTCACCCGTCATCGGCCTCCCGCTTCCCTCCAGCGTCCCTCTCCCCTCCGGTCTTTGGAGCCCAGCAGACCGCCCCTCCGCCCTGTGCCGTGTCGCCCCGAGCTCCTCACCGTGGTCGCTCCCCCTGAGGTAGCAGGGCCCGGGCCGTGGGTGAGGAGGGGGCTGCAGCCTCGAAACAACCCCCCACCACCAGGGTCCCCGCCCCCCGGGGGTTCGGAATCCTGGTCGCCGGAGCCACCGCCCACGGGCGCCCCTCCGGCGCTGACCGAGGCCAGGGCGGCCAGGGCGGTCGCCAGTTCTGCCCAGGCCCCTCGGGAGCCCAAGCCCGGGCCGCCTCCGGCGCCGGACCCCACGCCGCCCCGGCAGCGCAGCACCAGCAGGAAGCGAACAGTCTCCCCCAGGTAGAGGTGGTTGCGCCGGGGCAGCGCCCGGTACCGGCCCGGGTCCCCAGCCAGCTCCGCGCGTGGTGGCAGCGGCACGGCGGGGAAGTACATCGAGTAGTCGCACTGGGACTCCATGGGCGGTGAAGGCGGCGCGGGCCGGGGAGCGAGGTGGGCCGTGGCCGGCGGAGGGCGAGGGGGCCGCTGGGGTGGGCCCGGGGAGCCCCGAGCCCCGACCGGTGCTGCGCGCGGCCGGACCGGCCCGACAGACCAGCCGGGGCCGGGAACCGGGGCAACGAGCCCGGAACCGAGACCCCGTGGGGCCGGAACCGGGGTGCTGGGCCGAATGACTGGAGAGACACCGGAAGCGGAAGGGAAGGGGCGTGGCCTCGGAGGCGCCGGAATTTGTGGGCGACCGGATTTTGGACAAGAAGAGCGGCGTGTTCCTGTGGTTAGCCCGCTGCGTGAAGGGTTTAGGTGAGACTGCAGACAGACCCCTTCTTAGAGAAAAACTATGAAGAGAACCCCCTCCAACCCCGTTTCTCCCAGGAAGATGCTCCATCCCCTTCCCTTCCGCCCTATATAGAGCAGGTCAAAGTTTCAAATTATTTATTCATTCAACAAACATTTCATAGTGAAATGAGTATAGCCCAGTAACAAATATTTCATAGAGAGATGGACGCGTTATTCCTATCCCTTGTGTCCCAAACAATTTCTGCCGTACTCCATGGTTTGCTCCTCCAGGGGGGCTTTGAGAGTGTTGTTTGGACCTGGGGGGGGGGCACGAGGTGCTGGGAAGGGAAAGGGGCAAGATGGGGGGAGGATGCTTCTAGGACTAGGATTCCTCGGCACAGGCTGGGGCCTGTGGGGCCCACATCCGTGCTAAGTTCCACTGGTCCTTTGGGGAGCAGACATGGTCTCTGGGGGAAGCAGAAAGGGCATGTGGCTGCCTCACATTCATCACTGTGCCCCTGTGGCTCAGCTGCTTTTCAGCCTAAGACTTAGTGGCCTGCTGCCTAGGGGGAGGGTAGCCTTGAAGTCTTGAGGGGCACAGAGACTGTTGGGGGGAACTGCTTGGCATCTAGTTTGTCCTTGTACTGTAGCTCAGGGGTAGCCAGGCGCTCACACTCCTCCTGGTCTTGGAGGCTCAGGCCACTCTGAAGCACGTAACCCAAAACCTTACCTGATCCAAACTGGAAAGGGCGGAACCGCCGGTCAGTGATGTACTTGGGGTCTAAAGCCTCACCCCCCACCAGACAGTGTTTAGCCAGGGCCTCTCGGCGAGCCCGGAGCTCCGCCACAGCACTGTCCAGCCGGCTCTGGCCGTATTGCTTTATCCGGGCCCACAGGCTATGGTTGAAGTGAACATAGAGAGCCCAGTCCAGGTTGTTCCAGGCTCGGGCCCTTGCAGACAGCTGCCTGTCCTCAGCAGTCAGTCCACCATCGCCGACAGCACTTCCGCCCTGCCCACCTCCAGCCTGAGCGTTGTGCATGAAGCCCACCACATCATCTAGACTCCAGCACAGGGCATCTGCCAGCAGGACCAATGACTCGTCAAAGTACTCGGCCACCAAGACCAGGTCAAAGACAGAGTCCAGCCAGGCCAGATTCCACTGGATGAAGGATGAAGACCTCAAATCTAAAGAGGCAGAGCTGGACGTCTGGCTGTGACCATCAGCAACAGTGGGAACGGGATGGAAGAGAGCATTGGGATCCAAGGTGTGGGCTCGCCGGCCAACACCAGAAGGCAGCTGTGGCGGGTTGGGATCTCTGGGGGGATGAGGATTCCCTCTCTTGGTCCTCATCTCTGGGGGAAAGGGGAGGCCAAAGTCAAACCATAACAAGTTGCGTGCATAGTGGTCCCCACGGGCCCCGGGCTGGTAGAAGGCTCGGGGATTGTCCAGGAAGGCAGCCAAGGACGGTGATTTGCGGAAAGCCGATGATGTGGATTTATAGTAGGAGAAGGCAGAGCGGGCCAGAGCCGCTGGGTCTCGGACAATGGAAAAGAAGAAGCTGTCAGAAGGCATGACCTGAAGTACCTGCAGAGAAGAGGAAACAGACATAAGGAGAGAGAACTAAGCCAGGAAGAAACTTAGAGCAAACCCAGTGCCCACGGATCCCCCAGCCTCCTCCAACCTCCTTCTGACAGCTCTGCTGGGAACCCCCAGCTTCCTTCACCAGCTACATAGATCTTGGGTAAGGTACTTAACATCTCTGAGACTCAATTTGCTTATCTGCAAAACGGGGATCCATCATACCTTCCTTCCCAAGTGATGATGGAGGTTACATGAGATAAGGATAGGAAGGAACCTGGAACATGGGAAGCTCCTGGAGAACATTAACTTCCTTGGGCCTTTCTGTCTGCCTTGGTCAGTAACACTTCTAGGAATCAAGCTTTGTGTTCACTTCTCCAACAAAAACCTAAGTGCCTACTCTGGGACTCTGTCACAACTCCAAGAAAGGAGCTGGCCTCAGGCCTTCTCAGGAGGATCACTGGCAGCAAATAGGGAGGAGACAGAGCAGTCGCAACGCTGTCTCAGGTATAGGCGTCAGGGGCAGGCCAAGCCCAGGATGGCCGAAGGACAGGGCACTCCTGGGGCTCCTTGGCATCTTGCAGAGCAAGAGACACCCCTGGAATAGGCACTGGGGAGCCATGGCCACTCGGTAGGGTGCTGCTCTGAGGCCTAGGATGTGTGGTCCCACTTCTGGGCAAGAAGGAAGGTGGGGATTGGGCTGAGCCACACCCTAGCGTGGTCCTTCAGGCAGATCCGTGCCAGAACTCAGCTCTGGGGCTCCTTGAAGGGTTTCTGCCTCTGAACGCGACCTCTGTCATTGAACCTGACTCCCTGACAAGTCTTCCAGTCTGCTCTGCCGATGTGGGCATGCCTGCAGGGCGAGCCTGTGAGCTGTATGTCTCTTTGAAGGCATAGGGAAACAGTGCAGAGAACGGTCTGTGGCATCAGATGGACCTGGAATAAAATCCCAATTCAGCCATTTACCAACCCTGTAACTTTGGGCAGGTTATCGAACTTCTCAGAGCCTCCATCAGTAAATCTGGGTTAACACTTACCTTGAAGGATGTGGAAGTGTGGGGAACATGGGGGGTAGTGAGGGGTGGTGACAATCATCCTAAACTCCAGAGGAACCTGCCTCAGTGACCGCTGTCCTCGCCTCACTCCCAGCAGTGCCCCCTCGCTTCCCATTAGATCACATTCATGCTGCTCAGCTGCTTTCTCCTTCTCCAGCTCCAACAGGACTGCCTTTGCAGCCACCACTGAAGTTCTACCACCTACACACGCACACACACCACTGCCACCATGTCTTTAAGATGTTTTGCTCTAAGAACGCCTGATATTTTCCTTACTACAAAGTCATGTCCACTCTTTCCTATAAAACCCACCTCTCCAGAAAGCCCCACCTCTTTTGATGACTATTCTCCCCACAGTTCTGAATACAAACACACATACACACGCACACAGCCCACAGAAGGCACTTTGACTTTGGAGCAGCTGGGCCTGGGTTCAAATGCTAGCTCTGTGGCTTTCCGTTAACAGAGGCCTGTCACTTAGCCTCTCTGAGATTCAACCTCCTCATCTGTGTAGTGGAGACACTTATAATGCCTTCCTGGCAGGATGACGGTAAGATGACTATCCAGCACCCAAGAAGTATTCAGTGAAAGTTTGCTCTTTCCCTGTATGTGTTCATTTGCCCATTGATTTTCTTCCTCCAAGGGGCCAGGAAGGGCCAGGTACCTGGAGGGAGGGTTGGCGGGGTGGGGTCAGAGTTGGCGGGACACTGATGCCAGCAGGATAAATTGGTCAAGGAGAGAGACTGCAGTAAACTCTAGATGGAGAGGGCAGAACTTCGGCTGCCAGAAAATTCTGAGGAAGGGACAGCTGAGGAGGGGGCAGCAGGACTCACCTTTGTGGCCCCCATGCCCAACTCTTGGGTGAGGGGATGCCTGGGGAGCCTCCAGGCCTGGGGTCTCCTCCCCTGGTGGTCTTGGCTACAGGCATGAGCCCATCTCTCGCCAGTCCTGTCCACCCCCTCGACACTCCTCACCTCTTTCAGGTTGAACCTCATGTGATGACAGAGGATGTGGAAGGGGGACTGGGTGCCTCCACCCTGAGGGCGGTAGCCTTTGACCCGAGAGGCCTGGAAAAGCTTTGGGTAGCCGAACTGATAGCGGGCGGGGAGGGCGAAGCGCAGCCCATGTCGGTCCCCGTAGCGGTGAAGTAGACTGAGCACAGAGCTGCTCCCGGATTTATGCGTCTTCAGGAACACGAGTCGCTGCCGTGGCGGGCAGGATGGAACAGCTGGTCCCGGGGTTGAGGCCCAGGACTGTCGGAGCTGCAGCCCAGGTAGCCTGGGGAGAGACGGGAGGGGAAGTGTCGTGTCCCTCACCAGCAGGTGGATGAGTGTCTTGAGGAGAAAGGACGAGGGCGTGGAGCATCCTCTGAGTCCCCAAGAGTCACAGCCCCAGGTGGGACGGGGAGGATCAAGTGGGGGGGCATCTGTGGGGCGTTGGGACAAGATGGGAACTCACCTCCTCTGGAAGGGACCCCCCCAGAGCTGGAGGGCAAATCCGATGGTCATGAAGACTCCCAGAGCCACCCCCAGGCTCCGAGGCCCCCAGAGGCGCATGGTCCTGGTAGGAGACAGAGGGCCCATGTGGCACAGGGAAGGGGGTTGCTAGAGCGGGGCAGGGCAAGGGCCAGGCACAGAGGCAGAGACAGCTTGAGACAGCCGTGCAGCCGCGGAAGGCGCCGGTTCGAGTTTGGGGGTTCATTCCCCAGGTCTGCTCGCAGCCCCGGTTGAGTCTGCCCCCTGAGTTAGCAGATTTTTGCCTCTGTCAGCGTCTAGAAGGGAAATGAAGGGGAAGGAGGAGAGTCTAAGGAGGGGGTAGAGCCTTCTCTCCTGCTGCTGCTGCAGCTGAGACCTCATTCCGGGCAGGGGGGCAGCGGAGGGGGGAGCCCTCTCTACACCCAGATCTTCTAGGTGCCCCACGACTGCTTCTCTGCTGTCAACCTGCAGCTCCTTCCAACCTCCACTGACAGCTCCTCACTGAGCCCCAGGGATTTGGAAGGCAAGGGGAGAAAGATCAGACCGGTCCGCTCATACCAGTGAAACAGACATCACCGGGCCCCTGACCACCTCCTCTGCCCCTCTGTCTGTGACATGTCGGGCTGAAGAGCCCCATTCTGAGGCTGAGAGGAGAAGCCATAAGGAGCGAATGAGGGCCAGACAGGGCACCAGCTTAGGAACCCAGGGAGGTGAAACCACAGGAGCAACTTTGTAAAGAATAAGAGCCGACCAGCTCATCTAAGCTCAGGTATGCTTTCCCTCTTGGCGCCAGGCAGAGCCCAGTGTGTGAGAGGGCCTGGGGGGGTATAGGGTTGTTTAGGAAGCCCAGATCCCACACACCCCCATTCCCACTTTCCAACCCCAGCAGTGCACCCAGAGGGGATTGAGAGGGTGGGGCTGGAGAGAGACTGCGACACAAAGAGACAAAACCCGAACGCCGAGCTTCAGAATTCCTTCCCAGGCCCCAGCTTCCCAATCTACTGAGAGTCCAGACCTGCCCCTTCAATTCCAACCCGCAGCCCCTCCACCAAGCCCCGACGGCCCCCTTCCAGGACGAGCCCGGAGCGACCCCAGGCAGAGAACCCACACTGGCCACCTAGAGACCCGCCCCCTCTGGCATCATCCCCCAATTTCCTCCCCCAACCCAGCCTCCAGGATCCAGCCCCGCACTGGACTCCTTCCTGTGTCCAGATTTCTTCTATTCCTTCCATCCATCCCTGTCTCCTCCCATTACCCCCGATTCCAGCCCGCAGTTCCCTCCAGCTTTGGTGACTGCTCAGTCTGTTGCCAGCCCTGAGTCGGCTCCCTCTGGGGTTCTCTCTATGAAACCCCCCCAAGTCTCCTCCCATAAACTCTAGAGTCCCTCCACTGGCCGAGGCCTCGGCTTCACATGCCCACTCACCAGGCCACCTGAGGAGCAGCAGGGAAATCGGGGTCTGGCCCTCCCGCCTGCTCCAGCCACCGCCCGGTTTCTCGCTCGGCTCAACTTTCCCCCTAAACTTTCTCAGCGCCCAGGCTCCTCCCCCTCCCTCCCTTTGTCCCGCCAGTCTCTGCAGCTGATTCGGCTTTGATCGCGTCTCTGGGTCTCTCCCTCCCTGCACCTTTCCCTCTCCTTCAGGGCACCCAGCCTGCCATTGGAAGACACCAGTCCTACCCTCCTTTGGCACTTAGGAATCAATTATACTTTTTCTTTCAGCTTTCTGCAGAACAAAAGCCTCATTCAGGCGACCAAAGGAAAGAAGGAAAGAAGAAAGGAGAATGACAGACAAGAGTTGAAAGCAGACATTGTCAAGGACATGACAAGGTAGCCAGAGGCTGACACAGAGAACTGGGGCCCCAACTCTGACGGCAGGGTCAGTGGTGTGGTAATATTAACGGTGGCTTGGGTCCAAAAGAGTTTTGCAGTCCCCTCCCCGCAACTCTCCCCATTTTGCAGATGAAGGTGCTCAGACCCAGAGGGTGGACAGCTTGCCCAAACTCAATCCCAAGGGACAGGTTCCAAGATAAGCAGGCAGAAATGAACTGCTGGTCACAGAGGCTCTGGGCTAAAGGTACAGAAAGTCACACATAGGGTCCAATAAATTAGCCATTTATTTATAAATAAAATCGAGCCGAACACTGAAACATGAAACGGGGAAGCTTGTGAAGGATGTGGTGGATGGCAGAGGCCATGAGATATGCTTTTATTTCTTCTTTCTTTTTTCTAGTTTAAGAAAGTGATACTGAAAAAACTCGATAGAACCCGACCCATAGATCCTGACATCCTAGTCCCCTGCCCTGCACCCCGCAAACACCAGCTTTGTCTGTTTCTGAGACCGGGTGCCCCCACCCATTCCCCACCTTCAACTTCCTTCAAACCCCTCCCCCCGCAACTCTAAAACTCCTCCCTTTTTCTCTGTTGGGGCTCACCACCAGCCCAACCATAGAGGCTGGGTTAGAGAGACCACACCTCCTTCCTAAATAAATACCCCCAGCCCCTCCTCCCCAGATACCAAATGAAAAAATAAATATAGTGAACACCCATCCCCAACCCAACCCACCAATGGAAATCTGGATTTGGGGCCCCAGCCATTCACCCAAAAAGTCCCTTCTCTACCCTCTCTGCAGCCCCCTCCGACTCCTCCCCAGACCCAGCAGACGGGGGAGGAGGGGATGGGCCACGAACCCTTCTGATGCCAGGGCACCCCTCCCCAGTTATCGAGGTCCGAGCAGGGCCAGGGCTGAGAGGAAGAGAATGAGGAGGGGTTGGGTGTGAAAACTGACAGACGTCCCTCCAGTCCTGCTCCTGTCTTGGCTGTGGCGGATAATGACACCTCCTCCTTTGCCCCCAGCACCATCCCTTCGAGGAGGGCGAGGAGGCCGGGCCGGGGGGGCCACAGCTGCTGGCCCAGCCATCCAGTCATCTGCATAGTGCTGTCCCTCTCCAGAGCCGCTAGCGTCCTCTGCAGGGAGGAAGAGGATCGGAAACAGACAGGGATGGAAAAGAGAGGTAGCGGGAGACAGAGAGAGAGAAGGAGCCACAGGCAGCGAGGGAGAGAACTCGAGATAAAAACAGTGATAGGTGGAGGGGTGGAGGAGCAGGCAGGGTGAGAAGAGGGAGAAAGCGAATGACAGGAAGGTGAGCAGAGAGATCAGACACATGAGAATGAGGGAAGGCAACGAGAGACAGGAAGAGACAACGAGGCAGACAAAAAGGAGAGACAGATGGAGAGAGAGGATAAACAGGAAAAGAGAGAAAACACACGTACACAGAAGCAGCGAGCAGACGGGAAGTGGGGGAGAGACAGAGACAGACAGTGGGAGAGAGGAAAAAAATAGATGTCAGTGCCTTGTTTCCCTGGCAAATTCTACTTTGGGGAGCCAGCCCCATGGCGCCCGCACCCCACTTCCCCACCTCCCGGGATTGCCCACTCTTAGGAGCTTCCCACCGTTCTGTAAGAGTGTTTTGGTGTCTCCCCCAGGGAACCATGAACTCAAGGATAGAGACCCTGTCATTGGTGCTCTACCCCCTACCTTTGAGTAAAGCGCTCAATACGTGCGTGTAAAATGTGTGAGTCAATGAATGGATGGTAACGGAGAGACGCCAGGGGAGGGACTACAGAAAGCAGGAGGCGGGGCTGCGGGTTGGCCCGGGTCCAATCGCGGAAAGCCGGGCGGAGCGAGGCACTCGCGGCGGCCCGGGGCCTCACCCCAGTCCTCCAGCTCCAGGTCGCGTCCCAGGGCGGCCGCCTTCATCCTGGTCGTGGCCGCCCGGAGCTGCAGCCGCCGCCTCCGCGTCTGGAGGTCGGGGCTCGAGGCTTCCGCATCCAGCTCCGGGTTGTCGATCTGCCCGGCCTGGGGACCCCCGACCACGGGCGACAGGTACCTGCGAGCAGAGCAGCCCCGGAGGCTCCCGCCCCGCCCCCGGAGTCCGCCTCGCCCTCCCGCCCGCCGCCGCCGCCGCCGCCCGGCTCTCACCGGCCCCGCCCAGCTCCGGTCCAGCAGGGCGCCGCTTCCTGGGAGACGTCCGCAGCCACGCGGGGGTCCCCGCACACTGTCAGGGGCAGCCCGGCCCAGAAGCCCCTCACCCGGCCCAGCCGCTCGCGGAGCTCCCACACCTGGACGCAAAGAGAGCCCGGGAGGAGCTGGTGCGCGCGCCCCCCGCCCACCGCCGCGCCTGCGCCCCCGCCTGCCGCCCGCCACTCACCAGCCGGGGCAGGCTGGCGCCCGCAGCCGTCGTGGGCCGCTCCTCCTCCGCCGCCGCCGCCGACCAGAGCCGGCCCACCTCCTCCCGGGGGGCTGGGGCACGGCGGGCGCGGGCCGGCGCCGGTTGGGGGCTCCCGCATTCCTGGAACACCTGCGGCACCGGAAAGAGACCCCACAGACAGTCGTCCCGCGGTAAAAACTACACTCCAATACTCCAATCGCCCCCGACACCCCAGTTTATCCAGAGGCCCTGCAGTGTCTCACTGACACCCTGCACTGTACCCCCAGCCTGGGGCCTCCCCCTCCACCCTTCTCTCTCCGGTTCTCCCGCCAACTCCCACTCTTCTCGTGGCCCCTGTACCTGGGCTGACAGCCCCACGCTGTTTTCCTGCAGATGCATCAAACCCTCCGCGATCTTCACCCCGATGGACTGTGCTGCTAGCTCAAAGGAAAAGGGGCCCTGGATCTTCCCGGCCAGGAACAGGAGACCATCTTGAAAGAGGGAAAGAGAGGGAAAGAGAGGGAAAGGGTGAAATGAGGGGGCATCCAGGGGGACGCTCACTGAGGTAGGGTGTTCACGCAAATCCTGACCCCGGCCTTGGAGGGAAGCAGCAGGTCTTAGATGGGGGAAACTGACATGAGAAGAGCCGCTCCTCATCCTCTCCCCTCAGCACCGCTTAACACTCCCTCCCTGGTCCACCCTGCCCACCCCCACACAGACAGCCCTCCCGGCCTTTCCTGAATCCCCTCACCCAGATAGGCCCCCCAGTCAGGATCCAGTCCCTGGCTGCTGATACAGCCGTGGGCCACGTTGAGGCAGAAGCCCCGGCAGGGTGGCAGCGAGGGGACCCCCCGACAAAGGGGGCAGCCTGTCAGACGCATCACAGCCCGCTTGCAGCCTTCGGACAGCGGCATCTGGGAGCAGAGAGCAGGCCTGTGTCATCCACGGTTGGCTGCCCTCAGCCAAGCCTGGTGCTGGGCACAGAGAAAAGTCAAATGCCCCACCCCACCTTTCCCAGGCTCTCAGTGTAGAGCTGGATGTGAACATCTAGGACTGATGACCCCATGTGGTAGCAGGAGTGACCCCAGGACTGCCACAGATCAGAGGAGGGAGGCTCCTAGGGGCCAGGTTGCAGATGCTGCTTCTTGGGAGAGATGGGGCGGTGAGGGATCTGAGAAAAGGTTCAAGGACAAGACTGAGCCCATCATGGTTGGGGAGAGAGGAGGATGAGGATGCAGGAAGTAAGGCTGGGAGGTCAGGGAGAGAATGAGCAGTAGAGAGAGGGCCTTGAAGGCCAGGCCAGGAACCTGGCCTCCAGTAGCAGGGAAGAGGGAGCCACTGAGTGGTCCTGGAGAAAACCAGGAGGGCCAGTACTGCAGTCTCAGAGATGCTATGGAGATGAGCAGGCCCGTAGAGGCTGGCAGGGGGTAAGAGTCATCAGAGGGTCAGAGGTGGGAGGAGATCATGGGTCATGACACAAGGGAGACTCCAGCCTTTCTGATTTACCCTGGGATGCCAGGGCTTCAAGGCTGATATGGGAAGGCCCCAGGCCTCTCCTGCCAGCTGGCACCGGACTCTTCTTCATGGGACCTTTCCTGCTTCTTGTCTCCCTCCCTGGGCCCTGCCCATACTCAGGCTCCCTCTAACCTTAAGCGTTTCGCTGACCACATCTCTTCCGGTCTCCAGGCCCTGGATAAAGGCCCGGGCAGCCACCAGGGCCCGGGTTATCTGGGGGAGGGGAAAGAAGGTGAGAAAAACCACAGGACTGTTGAGGGTCAGTCAACACTGGGACCAAGAGACTGCACCAAGGGGATGAGCAGGGGGGTGAGGTTTGTAGGGTTATCTTGGGGTGGTTAGGAGTGTCAGGTGGTCCCGGGAGGCAGGTTCAAGAGGATCAAAGGAATCACAGTCTAGAAGGACCCAGGGGAACTGGGCTTGGGAAGAGGTGGAGGGATTACATTTTACAGGGCTTGGAGATAGAGGGGCTTGTATCAGAACAAACACTAAACCCGAAGCCAGGAGACCTGGGTGTGAAACATAGCTCTACCACGTATTGGCTGTGAGACCTTAACCTCTGGGAAGTTCAGTTTCCTCATCTGTAAAATAGGAATGCTAATATCTACCTCCTAGAGTTATGATGATAATTAAATGAGAGACTATAAATGAAAATTCTTCTTAAATATTAAGTGTCTAATTCACAGTTAGTTGAACCAGAGGAAGCCAAGGTATTGGGATTAGGGAGGAGTTGGCAGAAAGGTGGGGTGAGGGGAGGCAAGAGCAGGTGAGTGGGTCAGCAACTTGTGTAAACTAGGACACAGAAAGGGGGCCATCCAATTAAAGGAGACCAAGGAGCACTGGGTCAGGCAGAGGTGACTGAGGCTCAAGATAGGGGTCACCAGGTCAGACATGGCTGCCATGCAGGATAGAGGGATCACCAGGTCAGGGGTGACTGGGGCATGGAAAGGGGGTCATTGGGCTGGAGGTGAGTAGTACATACTTCAGAGGTCACTAGGTCAAAGGTGGCTGAAACTCAGGCCTTGGGGCCCCTCACCTGCAGGCGGAGGCGGCGGGGTGAGTCCCCAAAAGGCTTCAGAGAGTCATCAGCAGAAGAGGCCAGGCGCGTGAGGCAGAACAGGTAGTCAGGGGAGAAGATGTACTGTGGGTGCAGCAGGGGGAACATTTTCTCCAGGACCTGAGCCCAGAAATCCACCAAGGCATCATCTAACCCCTCACCGGACCTCTCATAGTAGTCCCGTAGCCGAGAGAACAGGCCACTGAACAAGGGGGTGTGCTGGGCATACAGGCGGCCGAAGGAGCGCTGGAAGAGCAGGGACAGGGAGTGCTCGGCTGATGAGAGCATCTCCCGAAAAACCTCTGTGGCAAGTGCAGAGAAA